CCGGGTGGGATTTCTCCCTGGTGGCCTCTCCTGTCAAACAGGAGCCTGGTGCCCTGGTTGACCTCAGAGGGGGAGAGCGGAAGAATCTGGAAAAGGTCTTGACTGTCAGTGGAAATCATGGGCTGAATCTGACCAGTGTGCTGTATTGGACTGCATCTGAGGTGGTGCTGAGTGTAGGCCCATCCAGTCCAATACTCCGTCACACAGTGGCCAAAAATACCAGGGGCCATCAGGAGGTCCATCAGTGGGGCCAGGACTTCACAAATGGCAAAGTTTATCACATGGGTGATAAAGACTCTGTAAAAACTATCTATTGCTAGTGTGGTTGTTGGATAATGCTGGGTTCGATGTGTTGCCTCTAATTTCTGTTTTGTTGTTATGATTTTAATTATCTATTTTAATTTTAAATAGACATTAAAAAGGTTTTAATTGGCACTGAGATTGTTTGTATTGAAGTTTCTTTCCTGCTGTTGTTTGCTAATGGTACGAGCTAATGCAATAAAGTTTATGAATTAATGGAATGAATGCGGCTCCGTGAGGTGTTAGATGGAATCGCAGGGCCTTTTCCTTACAGCCCTGCTGTCATCTAGTTCAAACCCACAGCTGGTAGAAAATGGCCTAGGCAGCAGAATGCAGGATGCTGCAGAAGGCCTGGGTTCAAATTCCCTCATCTGTGACTTCCTTTTGCAGTTAGTGTTACACACATACACGCAGTGCAGTTTCGAATGATTAACCACTGATGTGGCTATGCTACCTAGATGGGCTCAAGCCTGGCCTGTATCTTCATAGAAACTCTACCTGGGCTTGCATATTGGGCTAGGATTCCCGCAATGCAATGCAAATATCTAAACTTACCACCCACACTCCATGATGTGGATCCAAATAACAGGAGTCATCATCCAGTAAAAAGGAATTTTTTTGAAAAAAATTAAGAAACGGAAGGAAGGGAAAATTGCAGAAGAATCAGAAAAGTGAAACAAAAGGGTACATATGGCAGGGGACGTACTAAAACTAACGTCCCACCATGTGGCAAAAGTGTAAACCTCCTTTTGTGAAGTGTAAACCTTAAGGAGGGGGGGGGGGGGGGGGGGGAGACAAGTCATCTGAGTGGACTCGACCTCCTCGTGGGATCTTGGCTGCCACTGCGCGGTTTGCTCGGCAGCCCCAAGGAATCTAGCCAAGGCCGTCATGCTTCCGTTCAGCTCTTGTGGAGGCTTTAAAGATTTCCTAAGCATTGGTGGGAACGTGACTCCCTGACTTTTCAGGACTACCTTTTTACTCCACCACACTGTAGTTCCAGCCTACGTTGCCACTGGCTGAGCATGGACAGAGTGCCTTCCTCGCCAGTCTTGTTTTTTGGCCGTCAAGTCGCCGCCGGCCCCGCAGGGTTTTCAGGGCCAGCGACGTTCAGACCATCGCCTGACTTCGTTAAACCTCCGGGCTTAGGGAGAGCGGACGCATCCCGGGCCTGGAGACGGGGCTCAAAGGAAGCGTTTCTCGAGCAAGAATATGTGCTTCTTGGCCTTTCGGGGCTCGAGAGGGTTAAAGTGAAAGGGTTGCGCTTCCTAGAGAGCCGGCACAAGTCCTCCCACTTCCGCCTCTGGGGACCGGCATCGCTGGCGGGATCGCTAGAGGCTCGAGGCTGGAGCCGGACCGGAGGGTAAAGGCTGGAAGGGTAAAGATCTGTGGGGCGGGGGCGGAGGAGGGAGAAGATCCCCCAGGCCCGCCACGGGCAGCCCCGCGAGGAGTGGGTCTGGCGAGCAGAGCAGGTCCGGGGGAGGAGGAGGAGGAGGAGGGAGAGAGGTCGGGCGGGCCCCTTCTTCTCTGCTCACCGGGCGGGAGGGCTGCCAGCTCCGGATCTGGCCCTCTGAACGGGCGCAAATCTGCAGCAAGAAGCCTGGAGGGGATCTGGTTTCTCAGAGATCTGGAAGATAGGAAACCTCTGCTCGAGACAGGAGAGCCGGACAGGCTGGGGTTTCTCCCGGTCACTTGGCAACCCCAGCGAAAGGGCGTGTGGGCTTCAGGGCGGAGTCATGTAGGGCTTTGCGGTTGGGGAGGGGGAATAGAGCTGGCCCCATGAAGACCATGGAGTCGTAGTAGATAACTCACTGAAGACAGTGTGCGGCTGCAACGCTATGCTGGGGATTATTAGGAAGAGAATTGAAAACAAATCAGCCAGTATCATAATCAGTGTTCCCTCTAAGCTGAATTAGTGTGAGCTGGCTCACCGTTTTTTAGCCTCCAGCTCACACGTTTTTGTCTTAGCCCAGGAAGGATGGCTCCAGAGCAAACTAATTTATGCGGCAGCCAAATCTCTCTCACAACTTTAATGACAGTAGCTCACAAAGTAGAATTTTTGCTCACAAGATTCTGCATCTTAGAGGGACTATTGATGATAATGCCCCAGTATAAATCGATGGTGTGGCCTCATTTGGAATACTGTGTACAGTTCTGGTCGCCACACCTCAGAAAGGATATTATAGCATTGGAAAAAGTGCAGAAAAGGGCAACTAGAATGATAAAAGGATTGGAACACTTTCCCTATGTACAAAAGTTAAAGCGCTTAGGCCTCTAACTTGGAGAAAGGACAGCTGAGGGGTGACATGACAGAGGTTTACAAGATTATGCATGGGATAGAGCAAGTAGAGAAAGAAATCCTTTTCTCCCTTTCTCACAATACAAGAACTCCTGAGCACTCAGTGAAATTGCTGAGCAGTCAGGTTAGAATGGGTAAAAAGAAGTACTTCTTCACCCAAAGAGTGATTAACACCTGGAATTCACTGCCACAGGAGCTGGCGGCGGCTACAAGCATGGATGGCTTTAAGAGGGAATTGGATAAGCATATGGGGCAGAGGTTCATCAGTGGCTATTAGCCACAAGGTATAGATAGGAACTCTCAGTCTGGGGCAAGTGATGCTCTGTCTTCTTGGTGCTTGGGGGGGGGGGGTGCACGGTGGGGGGGCTTCTA